GTCAGCTTTCCTGCTCCTTCGATGCTGCTTGGCCTGCTGTGTTCATCCAGCTCTGCACCTTGTTATCAGCATAAATGCCACTTTTTCTGAGCTACGGTCAGTGCTCAAGAAGGGCCACTGTACTTGAAACGTTAACTGCTTTTTCTCCATAAATGCTGCCAGATCTGCTGAGTTTCTCCAGCAATTTCTGTTTTTGTTTCAAAAGTACTTAAATGGCCTCAACATCCTGAATGCAGGAAAGAGGCTATATAAATGTTCTTTGTTCCTTTAAACCGAATAAAACTTCCATTTTTTTGGATGATCGTAATCAGATCATTAAATTGAGAGCCAGGATAATTGGTTTCCTTCGAATGCCAACTTGACTCTTTTTGTCCTTTGTGTGAGGTAATGTGAAGTTTTTTTTGCAGATGCTTTCAAAAAAAGCACCTTTTTATTTCTCCCCTTTGCTGCATAAATGAGCTGGTGCACAAATATACTATTGCACATAATACATGTTGTTTTATAATACTGTGGACATGCACCATGTTCTCAAGGGAAATTACAAATGAGAAATGAGAAATAAATGCCAGTAGTGCTCACATACCAGAAATGAATATTAAAAAAAAACACACAAGCAGGTTAGCATAACATTTATGTCACAGAGTTAGTTATCCAGAATCTTGGTCTGATAAAATTATAAATAATTTTGGAATGAAAAGTTAGTATTAGTATGATGACTGCAAAGCTATCGTTTATTGTGAAACAGCTAATTGGTTCAGTAATGTCCTTTCAGGAAGGAAATTTACTTTTATGTAAATGTTGTTGATCTGAAATGTGATTGACTTTGAAATGGCCCAGCAGACCACTAAGTTACATCAAATAACTTTTTAAAAAGTACATTAATATAACTGGACAGAGCACCTGACATTGGCCTAAGTATTGGATTTGTACAGAACAAAGGCACATTTAGTTCTGCATGATCCTGCTAAGCCCTCCTGGGCCTTTTCAAAACTGGAAGAGCTGCCCAGAGACTAGTCAAACCTGAATTAAATAGAATGCTGTTTGCCTATCAGCCAATTCCAGATTCCTTTGTTACGCACGAGCAGGGCAAACCCATATGAAGTGGTGACAGAGTGGCACACCGCCAACAGCAGGGTGGTCCCATTGAAGTCTCATTGAATCAGGTAAAAAATAGCAAGGAAACTTCCTGCGTGTTGTCTGTCCTTATTCCTCAGCTGATGAAGCAGTACTGTTCCATGCTGGACATCGCTTGGAAGAAGCACTAAGCAGTCAAGATTTATTACAGTAACTCACTAAGCATTCTTTAACAATGTCTTTCTAAACTTGCAACTTTTATTACCCAGAAGGAAAAAGGGCATCCAATGCTTGGAAACACCACCATCTACACGTTCCCCAGCAAGTTGTGTACCATTTTGACTTAGAACTCTTATTACCTGCCATTCTTCACTGTCAAGGAGTCAAAAATTTTGAACTCCCACCCGAACAGCACTATCAATGTGCCCATGCCACATGGACTACAGAGGTGCGATAGGCAGTTTACCACTTTCTCAAGGGAAATTAGGAACAGTCAAAAAATAATAACTTTATAGTGATGTCTATAGCTTGTGCATAAATAAGAATGAAAAATATTTATATTGCAAATTTTCACACAATAAGCATAACTATCAGACCCACACAAACATAGTCAGAAGTCACATAACACTGGGTTATATATCACTTCACCTGAAAGGAGCAGCATTCGAAAAGCTTGTGATTTCAAATAAACCTGTTGGACTAAAACCTGGTGTCGTGTGACTTCTGACTTTGTCCACTCCAGTCCAACACCAGCACCTCCACATCACAAAAACATAAATAGACATCAATTGTTTCAAAAGATATAGAGTCATAGAACTGTACAGCGTGAAAACAGACCCTTTGGTCTAACTTGACTGTGCTGACCAGATACCCCAAATAAATCTAGTCCTGTTTGCCAGCATTTGGCCCATAACCCTCTAAACCCTTCCTATTCATATACCCATCCAGGTGCCTTTTCAATGTTGTAATTGTACCAGCCTCTACCACTTCTGCTGGCAGCTTGTTTCATATATGCACCATCCTCTGCATGAAAACACTGCCCCTTATGTCCCTTTTAAATCATTCCCTCCTCACTTTAAACCTATGCCCTCTAGCTTGGGACTCCCCTATCCTGGAGATATTCACCCTATCCATGCCCCTCATGATTTTATGAACCTCTATAAAGTCACCCCTCAGCCGCCAAAAATAGCCCCAGCCTATTCAGCCTCTCCCTAAAGCTCAAGCCCTTCAACACTGGCAACATCCTTGTAAACCTTTTCTGAACCCTTTAAAATTTGACAACATCCACCCTATAGCAGGGAGACCAGAATTGCATGCAGTATTCCAAAAGTGGTCTAACCAGTGTCCTGTACAGTCGCATCATTGCCTCCCAACTCCTATACTCAATGCTCTGTCCAATAAAGGCAAGGATACCAAATGCCTTCTTCACTATCCTGTCTACCTACGACTCTACTTACAAGAAACTATGAACCTGCATGTCAGGTCTCTTTGTTCAGCAGCACTCCCCAGGATATGCCCTTTAAGTATATGAGTCCTGTCCTGATTCGCCTTTCCAAAATGCAGCACCTCACATTTATCTAAATTAAACTCTATCTGCCACTCATTGGCCCACCTGATCAAGATCCAGTTGTACTCTGAGGTAACTTTCTTTGCTGTCCACTATGCCTCCACTTTTGGTGTCATTTGCAAACTTACTAACCATGCCTTCTATGTTCACATCCAAATCATTTGTATAATTGATGTAAAGCAGTGGACCCAGCACCGATCCTTGTGGCACACCACTGGTCACAGATCTCTAGTCTGAAACGCAGCCCTCCACCACTACCCTCTGTCTTCCCTTTGAGCCTGTTCTGTATCCAAATGGTTAGTTCTCCCTTTTTTTTTCCATGTGATCTAACCTTGCTAACTAGTCTACCACGAGGAACCTTGTCGAATGCCTTATTAAAGTCCATATAGATCACATCCACTACTCTGCCTTCATCAGTCCTCTTCACTATTTCTTCAAAAAACTCAGTTGAGTAAGACATGATTTCCCAAGCACAAAGCCATGTTGACTATCGTAATCAGTCCTTGCCTTTCCAAATATACATTATCCTGTCCCTTGGGATTTCCTCTAACAACTTGCTGATCCCCCAAGGTCAGGCTCACCGGTCTATAATTCCCTGGCTTTTCCTTACCACCTTTCTTAAATAGTGGCATCACATTAAATTTCCAAATGGACTTCACGGGATTAAACATAAACTCGTTAACTGAAGTGAAGCATCCTTAATGGACTTTTCGTACGGTCAATCTCATGATTCAAGTTAACTAGATTTCTGCAAGGGTGCAATCAGCAAGTATGAGGAAAGAGATCAGAAACAACCACCCTCCTGGAATCTGTCACCTTCCATGGCTGGTCATTACAGTCAAACCAACACAAAAGAACAGTAGACAAGATATATCCCCAGCAGGATCTGGTAAACAACTGGGAGCTAACGAAATATAGCTGAAGTGATGCTAACGACCCAACAGTTATCTCATAAAATGAACAATGGTTTTTGATCAAAGACATAGAAGCTGCCTCGTAAAGTAACATGAAGCGTTTGTAATGGGCCTTTCATCAGACGAAAACTCCTGGTCCTTGAAGAAAGGTACAATTGGTCAATTTTAAACCGTTGTTTCAGTCTGATAAAAAAAATCTAGTCCACTGTTCATCATCATCAACACCAAGATCCTTGATAGAAAATCAGATTTTAGGCTGAGATAAGCCTGCCTCAAGTTCACAACCTCCTTGAAGCTCAGTTCTCTAGATGATTTTTATGAGCATTGGAAAAATGGTCCAAGTTCATAAACTAACATCGTTTTACTGTGCCTTTGTCAAATTGAAAAGGAATTCTTAAACTTCAGCCAAATGCACCCTACTGTCTACTGTTCTTTTGTGTTAGTTTGACTGCAATGACCAGCCATGGAAAGTGAGAGATTCCAGGAGGGTGGTTGTTTCTGATCTCTTTCTGAATCTCTGGATGCTGATTTTCTGCACTCAGACAAAAACCACGTGATTTAATGCCAATTTCTTTGATTTGTCAGTCATTCGTAGTTGTAGTTTCTCGTGGTTTTCTTTCTTTCCTCTTTGCATTTTTCTGTGTACATAAGTATTGCAACAATCACACCCAACTTCCCTCTTAATCCCCCCCAACCCGCTCAATAAAAGTTTGAGTAAACCACACTTCTGGTTTAAAACCTAAAGCCGGTTGCAAGTCAGTTTTAAAAAATGGACTTCAAAATAAAATGGTTTGGAGAAAACACTCCACAGCCAATTTCGAAAAGAAAGGAATATTTAATACAAAGCTTTACTTATGGACAGAGAAGGAAAAAAAAACAAAAGCTTTCAAATTATTCCTCTGCATAACCATGATGCTTATAAAAAATACCAGAGAAATAAGACACAAGTGGACTGGTGCAATTGCCATACTTAGTTTTATCAGTAATGTTCCTTATTTAGATTCCTGTAACTATGAAACAAAGATTGCTTCTTTGTGGTTGCTGTAGAGGTGCCTCACTTTAGCATGCCTTCTTGTTATTTATTTAGGCCGCACACACCAGCTGAGGGTCCACTGCATGGCTGTGGGGCATCCCATAGTTGGTGACTTCACCTACAGTTTGAAAACTGACAGCAACCCTTATCGTATGATGCTACATGCCTATCACCTGCGTATCCCCATGGAGGGGGAGCTCATAGAGGTGACCACAGCTGACCCATTCACACACATGGTAGACAGCAACTTGGAACTGGGCTCGTGGGTCAACAACTTGCATGATATTATCGAGAGACTGAAAGGCAAGTCTGTGACGGAGCAATGTGACAGGGACAGCATGCTCGAGATTCAAGCAGAGAAAACACAGGTGAAGAAAACAAGTGAAGAGACAGAGGAAGAGAGAGACAAGTACTTGCAGTGGTTAAATGAATGGACAATGAGTTAATGTTGGAATGACTGGAAGCTGCATATTTGCATTTTCTAAGGAGTATGGAGAGCCTATGGTCAGTTAGGTGTCCAGTTACATCCTCACTTTTGATTAACTGATGTTTTTAACTTGTCGGTGAGTCCAATGAAGTCCATTTCTCCTCCCCAGCTGAATGTTTTCTTGTTCCAGCCCAGCCTTTGTGATCCGATAACTTCACACATTGACACAGGTGAACAGATTTTAAATTAACTACATTTGTTTTTAAAATTAAGTATCCAGTTCTGACCAGACATCAAGAAAATACAATAGAAGCCATTAAAGTGCTACACTCACTTTACAGGGACTCCTTACTGCAAACCCATTTCTCTCAAATGATTCCCTGTGGAACAATCCATTGGCTTAACGGAACAGATAGCTCCTATCCATCCAGTGAGATGGAACAGCTGCTGTTGACAGATGACCATCAGTTTCGTTTGTGTGATAACAGAATGGATGATTTTTCTGTGAATTGAAATGTTGGATTGACTCATTAGTGTTCAAATAAAAATCATTTGCGACAAACTGGTCACTTGACGGGAAAGGATTAGCTTTATGTAAAAGTACCTAAAATTGCATCACAGAATTAGGCCATTCAGCACTGCTGTGTGGTCATTTTCTGCTCCACATAAGCTACCTTCCAGTCTAATTCATCTCATCTTAAGCAATTAAGAAAGCAAATGGTCCATTGGCCTGGAAGATGCTGGAAGTCAGAATCAATAAAATGCGGAGCTGGAGAAACGCAGCAGGTCAAAACATATCCAAGGAGCAGGAAAGTCGATGTTTCGGGTCAGGACCCTTCATCAGGACTGATGTCTTGCTGCAGTTGTATAGAGCCTATGACAAGTTTTGTGTGCAGTTGTGGTCTCCTTGAAGAAAGATGCACTTACCAGAGAGAGAGAGAATGCAATGAAGGTTGTCCAGATTGATTCCTAAGATTGAGGGATTGTCTTAACAGGAAAGGCTAAACAGACTGGGCCTGTTATTCTTAGGAGTTTTGAAGAATAAGATGTGACCTCAGAAAAGCATTCCAAATTGTTTGTAGGGATCGAAAAGGTTGATGCACAAATTGCGGGTGAGACAGTCACAGAAGAATGAGTAGTCCATTTTGGCATTACATGAGGAGGAATTTCTTCATTCAGATGTTGGTGAATCTTTGGAATTCTCTACCCAGAGGGCTTTGGTGGTTCAGTCATTTAGCAAATTCAAGACAGAGGCTGATTGATTACCACACATTAAAGACATCAAGGGGAAACATCAATATAATGCAGAAAAATGGTCTTGGAGTAGAAGTTCCATTATGTACTCATTGAATAGTGGAGTTTCTCAAAGTGTTGAACAGCCTTCTCTGCCTCGATTTCTTATGTTTTTAGCAGCGTACACTTTGATTTTTTTTCATCTTGATGTAGCTATCTGACTTCCCATTAATTAGATTTACTCTATTCATCTGGATTATATTACGTGCTAGCAAGTCTTCCAACATTTCCTAGGTAAGTCAATTTCCCCTGAGTTTCTTAGTGAATGTATTATATTTGTACGCTTGTATTTATAGCCTGTACTTTTGGACAGCCTACTGGTGGAAACACCTTTGCTTCCCTAATGTATTTCAAGTTACTTCTAACAACGTTCATCACGAACACTCCATCCACAAGGAGCAGTGAAACAAAATTATCTGCTTTTCTGTCCACTTGAATTTTGAAGAAAACTTGCTATTGTTAAAACAAACGCTCAAAGAAATGTTCATTGTATATCAATTTTTTAGCCAGTGGAATGGATTTTCACTATTGAAACCTGGAGCTCGAATCAGGAAATTTCCCATCTTAGAACATAGAACATTACAGATCTTGGCAGATCTACTCTGGTTTAAAGGGCCCTGTTTCACTTCAGGAGAACAGGGTCAGGATTATTTTGGGCCTTTCAAGCCCAGAAGGTGATCTGAGGCAATCACAAGGCTGACTTAGTGCTGAGATGGGCAGGTTAGAAAGTGGTCTTGGTTGGGTTAAGGGCCGCTAAGCCTTCCAGTCCCAGCCCTGCCTACCTCTCCACCCACTGACTTTTCCAATGCTAAATCATGTCCCCTACATGCTCCTCAGAACCACTGCAGCCTTTGTGCTTTGTCCTGCATAGTGTCAAGGTGCTTGAGTATTGTTGGAGCTGTACTCATCCATGCAAGTGGGGAGTTTTCCATCACAAACGTGACTTGTGCCTTACAGATGGTGGATAGGCTTTGGGGAATCAAGAAGTAAGTTATTTGCTGCAAAATTTCTAGCCTTGCCTTGCTCTTGTATCCACCATGTTTATTAGTAGCTGGATGTGTAAGACAGTTGCTCCTAAAGAAGGGAGTTAATTTAGAACTGTTAAAAATAGCTTACCTTAATGAAAGGAGTTTAGTTTTAAAATTCCAGACCAGAAGTGTTTTGGTTGAAACCTTGAAAGGTTTACTTGAAGCTGAGAAAGTCTAAGTTCTTGCAACCTCTTCCGTCAGGCAGAAGATACAAGAGCTTAAAGACAAGTATCAACAGGTTCAAGAACAGCTTCTTCCTCACAGTTACTGGATGGCTGAATGGACCTCTCAAATTTCAAATCTAATGTTGATTTTACTTTTGTGCATCTCCTGTGCAACAGTAACCTTCTATGCCTCTCTCTGCTTAAACACCCTATGATCTGTGCATTCTTGTATGTTATGATCTGCCTTACTACATGCAAAACAAAACTTTTCACTGTATTTAAGTACATGTGACAACAATAAGTCAAATCAAACCAAATAAAAACTCCAGAAAGAGGCTAAGATTCTTAAGACTGGGAATTAGAGCCAGATGGAAGTTAAGCCCTATTGATATGATAGAGAAGGGAATTCTCTCTGGTGTGAGTACAATAAAGGACTGTGGTTAGGATTAATCTAATTGTATTAGACCACGTGTTTCAAAATCTTTGAATTATATGATATGTAAAGTAGTTGATGTATTCTATTTTATTAGTCTTAATTTCTTTTGTGTAATAAAATCCAGCTTTGTTGTTGAAACCAAGTCTGGAACATTGTCCGCCATATTTCAAAGAAAAACCACTTCGTTAACACCAAATAAAGAACAAAATATGATCTGTCGAGTCAGATTTCAGACTGGGATCTGATTTGTTTAATAATAACGTTAGCTGGAATCATAATACTTGCCACTTGTTGGCAAAAGCCTGGATATTTTCCTGAACTTGCTGAATTTGCTTTAGTATCTGAGGAGTTATGAATTGTGATGAACACTGCAATCATCAGAGAACATGCCACTTCTGGTCTTATGATGAAGGGATGATGATTGGTGAAGAAGTTGGAAATGGTTAGGCCTAGATCATGACCTTGAGAAACTCTTGAAGAGATATCCTGGAATTGAGATGACTGACCTCCAACAACTACAAACATCTTCCTTTACACCAGGTTTGACACCAACCATTGGAGAGTTTTCCTCTTGATTCTCATTGACACATTCAGTCAAATGCTGCTTTGATGTTGAGGGCAGTCACTCTCACCTGAACTGTGGAATTCAGCTGTTTTGCCCTTGTTTGAATGAGGAGTTGAGTGGCCTTAGCAGAACCCAAACTAAGCATCAGTGAGCAGGTTATTAGTTAACAAGTGTTGTTTGATAGCACTTTTGAGGGTACCTTTCATGGCTTTATGGACGAAAGACGGTAGATCGATGGGTTGGTAATTGGATGGGTTCGATTTCTCCTGATTTTTGTATAGGACAACCTGGAAAATTTCCACTTTGTCAGGTAGATGCCAGTGTTGTAGCTACACTAGAACTGCTTGGCTAGGGGTACAGCACATTCTGAGCAGAAGTCATCAATATTAGCGATGGAATGTTGTTGGGGCATATCCAGTGACTTAACATCACACGGAGTAAATCAAATTGGCTGAAGACTGGCATCTGGGTGCTTGGCACATCCAGAGGTAGGTAGAGATGGATCATCCACTGAGCACATCTCTTTATTCCTATCAACTTTCTCTCTCCTTCAAACCAAAGACAAAAAAAAAACCCTGCAATGTTGATACAATGAGACAAAACAGGATATAAAAAATCAACAACAGTTAAATGAAAAAAGTTAGTTGAGGAAGTGTTAATCAGGACTGTCTTATTAATGTAATTATAGCGTCGATGAAAATTATCTGAAGTAATAGTGAAAATTATAAGTGTGATAGTAGCTGGTGGCCTGGACTAATCCAGTGTACTGAGCTTATGCCCTAGAGATATGAATTCAAATCCCACTATGGCATCTGGCAGAATTTAACTTCAACTGTATAACTTATAACAGGAATAAAATGCTTGTATCATAAAGCTATCAGATTTTTTTTAAACAAAGACAATTATTTATGTCCTTATTGGAAGAAAATCTGCCATCCTGCTAGATCTGGCTTACACATGACTTGAGACCCACAAGAATGTGGTGAACTCTTAATTGCCCCCTTAATAGGCTGAGCAAGCTACTCAGCTTTTTCTTCCTGTAGGAGGTTTTAGAATGCCACCATCTCAAGGGCAATTATGGATTGACAATAAATGCTGGCTTTGCCAGCAACACTCACATCCGAAGAACAAACAATGAATAAAAACACAAGTCAAATACCCTTATTACCAGCACGTATTAACAGAAGATTACCGAGTCACATTTAGAACAGCTATGAAGATGGCTGACTAAAGAACTGGAAATGCCAAAATGACTCAACAATTCAGGCAGAACATGTGGGGAAAATAAAGGAAAGTTTACATTTTAGCTATTGCAGAATTGAAAGCATCTGTTATGTGAAATGGAAAACTTTGCGCTATACAATGGAGGGTGTGCCTTTCAAACATGAGAGAGTAAGAGAAGGCTTCATTCTGATTAGGTAGCACTACACCTGTGAGCTCATAATTCACACATTAATGCCAAAAGTTCAAAATAGATTGCAATTTTTTCGGTATTTCAGTTTCAAAGGCAGGCCGATGACAAACCCTGATTTAAGTGCATTCCCGTGTTCAATGGGAAGTAGTAATACGACTATCCAATTCTGTTTGTTGTATTTTACTTTTCTTACTCACCGCATAGAGTTGGTCCACGATCCCCATAGGAATATAACATTGCATGTGTTACCTAAAGTGCTCGAAATTGGGATTTTCGAGAGGTGGAATTGGAGGAGCTTGGATATCTCAGGGTTATGGTGCATGAGGAGATTATAGGGATAGGCTGTGAGATGGGTCGCATAATACAATCTCTTTTTTAATCACGTCAGATCTCGACTGACCCTAGACTTTAACTTTTATGAAGTCTTGTATAAATAAAAGGGATAATAAGTTACACTGGAATTATTCACGACGTGCTCCTCTGAAGGAATGCCTGCTTCAAAAGATGTCTCCAACGAGAGTAATTTATTGATTTTTTTTGTTGGTTGTTTTGTGTGTACGACTCTTACTTGTTTAATATTTCAGATTAAGTATTCAGACATATTTCTTTGTCCCTGTCTAAATCTTAGAATGTAGTAGTTAAAAAAATACTCCCAAACCTGTAACTTCCACTTTTGGAAGGACAAAGACAACAGATGTATGGGACCACCAGGTATCTTCACACACCACTATAACTCGGAAACATATCCCTGTTAATTCATTATTGCTTGGTCAAGTCCTGGTACTCCCAGGCTAACTGCACTGTAAATATACCTTCATGAAGCACATAGTAGCAAATTAAAAGTGGCAGCCCATCACCTTTTCAACAGGATAAATCAAAACTTACAGTATGCAGAATGTAGTAATACCTAGCAAGTCATGGGCGTTCACTGCCTGGAGGGCATTTATGTTATGTTCGAAAGACTATTCATGTTTCTATTTTTAGAGTTTAACCTTTAGTGGACTACATAGCAATTCAACAATGTGCCAAATCAACCGTCCTGTGTCTGAGCCACCAAAGTCATGATGAGGTGACCTGTTCCATTGAGTGTTGGAAACCCTGATCCTCCTCCTCTCCTTATTTCAGCTTGAGTTCAAGGAGGTCGGTGTTCCTGAGCTGACTCCTAGTCTTTACAGTCCGAAATGGATTCTGTTAAAACAAACATAGAAACATAGAAGGTAGGAGCAGGAGGAGGCCATTCAGCCCTTCGAGCCTGCTCCACCATTCACCACAATCATGGCTGATCGTCCGACTCAATAGCCTAATCCTGCTTTCTCTCCATAAACTTTGATCCCATTTGCCCCAAGTACTATATCTAGTCGCCTCTTGCATACATTCAATGTTTTGGCATCAACTACTTCCTGTGGTAATGAATTCCACAGGCTCACCACTCTTTGTGTGAAGAAATATCTCTGTATTTCAGTCCTAAAAGGTCTATGCTGAATCCTCAGACTGTGACCCCTGGTTCTGGACACGCCCACCATCGGGAACATCCTCCCTGCATCAACCCTGTCTAGTCCTGTTAGAATTTTATAAGTCTCTATGAGATTCCCCGTCATTCATCTGAACTCCAGTTAGAACAATCCTGACCTAGTCAATCTCTCCTCATACGTCAGACCCGCCATTGCTGGAATCAGCCTGGTTAACCTTAGGTGCACTCCCTCGAGAGCAAGAGAATCTTTCCTCAGAAAAGGAAACCAAATTCACATAGTATTCTAGGTGTGGCCTCACTAAGGCCCTGTATAACAGCAACCACACATCCCTGCTCCTGTACTCAAAACTGTATTCAATGAAGACCAACATACCATTTGCCCACTTTACTGCCTGCTGCACCTGCATGCTTACCTTCAGTGACTGGTGGACACCCAGGTCCCACTACACACTCCCCTCTCCCAATTTACAGCCATTCAAGTAGTAATTTGCCTTCTTGTTTTTGCTTCCAAAGTAAATAACCTCATACCTATCTAAATTATTCTGCATCTGCAATTGATTTGGCCACTCACCCAACCTGTTCAGATCATGCTGAAGGATCTCTGCATCATCGTCACAGCTCAATATTTTAGAAGATCCACAGAATTAATGGATCTTGAAGCCTGCTGCCATGAAAAGTAAGCCAATACAGCAGTATTAATGCTGGAGGACAGATCATGGACTCTAGTCTCCCAGAATCTGAACTGAAGAATTAGCAGTTTCACTGTCCATTTTGCTCATTAATTGTGGAATAATTCTGATGCAGAATAATATATCTCTATTTTGAAATACCTTGACATACTCTAGTAAACGTTTTGATTTATATGACCTTTAATTCAGTTAAATATCATCTTGGGCAGTACGGTGGCTCAGTGGTTAGCACTGCTACCTTACAGCACCAGGGACCTCAGGCAACTGTCTGTGTGGACTTTGCATGTTCTCCCCGTGTCTACATGGGTTTCCTCTGGCTGGTCTGGTTTCCTCCCACAGTCAAAAGATGTGCAGGTTTTTGGCCACGCTAAATTGCCCATAGTGCTCAGGTATGTGCAGGCTAGGTGTGTTAGCCATGGGAAATGCAGGGTTACAAGGATGGGTCTGGGTGAGATGATCTTCGGAGGGTTGGTGTGGACTTGTTGGCCGAATGGCCCGCTTCCACACTGTAGGAATTCTATTCTATCAGAATTTGACACCAAGACATTTGACATTAGGACAGATGGCCAAAAACAAGGGTGGCACGGTGGCTCATTGGTTAGCACTGCTGCCTCACAGCACCAGGGACCTGGGTTTGATTCCACCCTTGGGGCGACTGTCTGTGTGGAGTTTGCACATTCTCCCCGTGTCTGCGTGGGTTTCCTCCGGGTGCTCCGGTTTCCTCCCACAGTCCAAAGATGTACTGGATTGGCCATGCTAAATTGCCCGTAGTGTTCATGAATGTGTAGATTAGGAAGGTTATAGGGGGATGGGTCTGGGTGGGTGCTGCAAAGGTCAGTGTGGACTTGTTGGGCCGAAGGGCCTGTTTCCACACTGTAGAGATTCTATGATTCTCAGCCTTCACAAGGCAAAATGCACAGGTATAAGGAACATTTTAAAAGGGGAGAGAGGAACACAGATGTTTATGAAGGGAATCCAAGAACTAGGCTGCTGAAGGCACAGT